CTTGGCCCAGCCATGGGTCCTTGCTTACTCTTCTTTTTCATACCACAGCCCCTTACCGCCCCTCCTCCCCAGGCCTAACCCAGTCTGTTTCCCTCTCCTTCCCAGGAAGTGACCTTTGGGACTCGGGTGGCACAGATACTTGCTGAATGAGCATTACCAACTGCTGTGCTTCTTGCCTGGGTTGGGGCCAAGAGGAACCTGTGCCAGGATGTCTCTGTGGGGCCCTGTGATGTTGCCTGTGTGGTATGGGAAGGGCTGGGAGTGAGGAGATGGAGATGTGATGCAGAGGACATGGGGGTGGGAGGCGTCCCCAGAGGCTAAGGAATGGCTTGAGTCTCTAAAACTATGGTTTTTTTTTGTTTGTTTTTGGTTTTTGTTTTATTTCCCCCCTAGATTAAAGGGCAGAAAGAGGATCAGTTTGGGCCTTTGCAAAGGTCTGACCAGCAAATCTTTATAAAGATCTGCTGTGTGCCAGCTTCCAGGAATGAACAAAAGGATTCACTCCCTCTGCTAATGAGCCTTCCTCTGACCTCACTTTCCAGCTGGTTTGTGGACAGACAGACGAGTGAGTTTGGGCAGACAGGCATTCTAGGCTCAAGACACGCTGAGACTGTCCATGCCCACCTGCATGGCTCCGGCAGGGACGTTCTGTCAGTGGAAGGAATGATGTCTGCACGGGACACAGATGGCTCCCGGGACTGAATCTGCCAGATGAGTTCCTTGCTGGCTATCTTTGGCTCTTACTGTTTCCTGACACAAATTCTCACCTTTAGCCAAGAAACTCTTAGGTCTGGTTCCGAATCTCTGTATGCCCATTTCTTTTCTCTATAATGTTCGAGAGAGGGTGGCTCTAGGCAGCTGCAGCACGCTCACACCTGCTTAAATGTTTCTAGATGTGTCTCGTTATATGTCACGTAAGGACCACTTCCTTCCTTCCTGTCCTTCCACGGCGCAGAATTGAGGCTTTTCAGCAGACTGAACATCTGATACATTTAACTCACTGGTAGACCTTCACACTGGCTAGCTTCCAGGGTGAGCCAGCCAGATCCTGCCACCTTCAGGCAGACCACCCTCACTCAACAGTAGAGATCTCAGCTTTGGTTAGCATCCTAGACCACTCCGGCTGAAAGGCATATGCATAAATCATCTCGCCATCCCCAGACCCCAGCCAGCACGAATCTAAGGAGTTCTAGAGATAACTCAAGACTTGTCTCATGTAGTGCTAGTGGGTGGGACTCAATGCCAGAACATGCACTTAGCATGTACAAAGCCATGGGTTCAATCTCCATTGGGAGAAGAAATGGGGAACAGAGGAAAAAAGAGGGAGAGGGTGAGGGAGAGGGAGAGAGAGAGAGAGAGAGAGAGGGAGGGAGGGAGAGAGAGAGAGAGAGGGAGGGAGAGAGGAGAGAGAGATGAGCATTCAAGAGAAGAGAAAAGGAGGAGAGTAATGAAGAAGGGAAAGTGTACTCCAGGAAGGTCCAGGGAGGGAGGGACAAAGCTCCAGTAAACACTAAAGCTGAAGACTTTTACCCTGAGTCGGGAGCTTGGAGTCAAAGCTGAATTTGAAACACACGATGCCCCAATCTTACCTCGAAGTCAGTAATCACCTGGCTCTGGGGCTGGAGACGGAGGCAAGGGGAGTCCCAACTAAACAGGTGACTGGGTAGGTGGGCAAGTGTGCTGTAACACAAGCTGTGGCCACAAGGCAGCACAGGGTCACGTGCTTTCATGCAGGGGGTCTTTTCCAGGCCAGGCTAAGCCCTGGGAAAAAGATAATAAATCTGTAGCTGCTGTGAGCCCTGATTGAAAAAACAAAGAGGAAGAAGCTATGTTTGCTGCTTTCATTAAGCAGCATAAGCGGCAGGGGCTCGTGCTTAGCAGGAGCGGGAGGCTGGCAGAGAAAGGATGCTAACCCCTAGGGCTTCTGTAACATGGCTGTACTCACCGCCCCCACACTGCTGCCTTCTTAGCCTGGATCCCAAGGCCAACCCCTTTGTGTGTCCCCCAGCTGAAGGAGGGACAGAGGCCGGGCTGCACACTCATCCCCCCGTCAGATGGCCACTAAATGATCCATCATGTCCTAGGTCCTGAGCTCCTGATTCTCCCAGGGTTGGGCAAGAAGAGGAGTTGAGGAGAGAGCAGAGTATGTGGCTGGTGTGGTGCGCATGTGCCTGTTGTAGGTCGTATCTAACAATGCCTGGCCCTTTGGACCTTGTGCCCATCTGTAGCTACCTACCTAGAGCCACAGTCTTCTTCTGTAATGAGGACAGAGAGGAGTAAGCAAAGCTTTGCAGCAAAAT